ACTGAAGCCGGGGGAGATGGGCAGCCCAAGATGATGAAGCGGCGTCGACCAGGGCGGGGGCCGCCGCGTGGTTGGAGAATCACTGATCGCCGTCGAGAGTCCGGCTGGCCGGTGACGACTTATTCGAGGATATGCGAACAGGCCTGGAGAAGGGGCCGAGCCAGTAATTCGACTTTGGACACTGACAGTTGGGACCCGGGCTCCATGCCTATCGATGTTGCGACGATGGGCCTGTGCCTGGAGACCGTGACAGATGCACACCAACATGGGCGAAAACCGAGTGGTCCCGTCCTTCCGCATCGCGCACCGGCTCGGACACAGCCTTGGCTGTTGCTGGCGACGTCGAGGCGAGGCATGGCGATTCGCCACAGCGCGCGAGTCGGTGATGCATGTTTCCCTGCCTCGTGCATCGCACGTTGGGAGCTGGAAAGAAGAAAAACCGAGGTGGCGGCGACAAGGTCAACTCGTGGCGAGCCGGGACTGTGGCGGCGGGGGGAGGGGTTGGGTGACGACTGACGACGGGACCGACGCGACGCAGCGCAGCAGACGGGACCTAGGCGGAGGAGAGAAGCAGACAGGCCCGTCTGGGGGCGTCGAGGTTGCCGTCCCTGACCCTGGCCTGGGTATGGGTGGGTGGTGTGCAGAAGCGGGGCGGGACGGGGCAGGCCTTTGAGCGTGTCAGACAGTCGAGGGGACTGACTGGTGGGCGCGGCGAGCTGTTGGTTGGGACTTGCGAGGGGAGCAAAGAGTTCCGAGTATAAAGGCACTGCACGAGTTTGCTCTCTGGAGAGTTCCCACGGAGTCTCGTTTCGGGGAGGACTGAGCAGACTTGCCTCAGGTGTAAAGAGAGAACACGGAGCTACCTAACGTTAGTACTTCACACAGGGAAAGCACCTGCAGCTCTGCGACGTCCGTCTTGTCGACGGGACCGTCCGGGAGTTGGCACCCCTCCCGGGCAGGAGCTGGACAGGAGCGCCTTCCTCCTGGGAACCACACACACCCACGAGCCCAGGACCTCTGCACAGTATGAAGCACGAGGTGCTAACGCGGTGCAAGCATGCAGGTCTGCATGCTCCTCGTCGCCCTCGCATGCACGTTACCTTCTTAGTCCCTTCGCACCCGCACACACACACAAAAGGGACGGGGACCTTGTGCTGGGTTGGTGCTGACCTGACACGCGACTTTTGCTGACCAGGCGCAGATGAGGTGCTGACGGGCCCTGCTCTGCTCGATGCTCCGCCGCGCTTCATGCGCCCCGGGTTGCGCTGCAGCTGAGGTGCATCTCCATCTGCACATGCGACACGCGGGACGCAGCGGGAAACCAAAGCGAAAGGCGTGCCTGACTTGGAGAGTTGCGTCGCGTTCCGTCTTCTTGGTTGACACGCCCCAGCCGCCCAAGTCTCTGATCTCTCGGTCGCCGACCACTGACATCAAGCCGTGCAAGTACCAGACACCAAGTGCGTACGCCCTCTTCATTCTGTCCGTCCACTGGCTGTCCGTGCCGGCAAAATACAGGGATATGCTCGCGGTCCCACGTCCGGACCCGAGGGCTGTTGGTCGCTGCTCCCTGCAACTCGCGCCATCACGCCGCAGCCGTCCACCAATCCATGACGGGCCATGGCAATCCCACTGCCGGCCTGGGTGCCGCCCGACTTGCGTCTTCGTGTGCGTTTCGAATGGCTCTTGCTGGCGGACCGTGTGCAATCGCTCAGTCCTCCAACATCTCTCTGCTCACGCCACTTGCCCCGGCGTGCGCTCCGATGTGCCTGCGGCCCGTGTCCGTGGCGAAGAAACGGCCAGCAGCCGTGGCAATCAATTAATTCGGACGCCAGCTCAATCGAGACGGTCCAGACGAGCCGCGCAGCGGGCCGACACGAACCAGTCTTGGATACAAGTGGCCGCGTGCATCCAACGCATAATGTTGCCTCGCCTTTCAGCCCAATGGCTGGTCTTGGCCGACCCGTCTCACCCGCCGCTCCCACAGCCTCCGCACCCACCCTGGCAAGAATATGTATAATTGCTCGACATTACTGCACCTCCTCAGTCCTAGCTTTCGACATGAAAACTTTCTTGAGGCTGTGTCCGCCATTGGTCGCAGTCCACCGCAATCGTGCCCGCCCAGCAAGGCGTCGAAAGTAACGTCAACACATAGGCTTCACGCCTGTGTATCAGGTCAGTCAACGCCTGGCCGCGCGCGCGGGCCCCGGCGCGTCGTTGAGCCGCTTGGCGACGTCAACCGGCGGCAGCGCACACGGGCCCGTGGGATACCCCGGGGCCCGTCCGGCTGCCGATCGCTCATTTTAAAAATGCCCGACCACCGTCTTCCGTCAGCGTGCAAATCGACAAAGGACGCGGAGAGTTTGGCCGTATGGGGCAGCATGTGTATTCCTCAAGGATGCTCTCCATGCGGGGCGGGTTCCGCTCGTCTGTGCGAGTATCGGCCAGTCGTCACTGATGGTCGTCCTAGGGCCTCATGATCAGCCTGAAGACAGGGCTCGAGGGTCGCAACAGCCGACCGCTTCCCGTCAGGTGGCGCATCTGTCTCGCATGCGAGAATCGCGAGGAAATGTTGTGCTCCCGCAGCCCGCCTCCAAACAAGGCTGGCTGGCTGGCCGGACAGTCGACACGGCGCCTGAGACAGGTGGTCATGGGAACCGAGCCGGCGTGGTGGCTTGCAGCGAAGTGGTGCGAGCACAACAGCGTGGCTCGATCTGGCCAACGCCTCTCGAGATGTCGTGAGCCCGTGATCCCTGCTGTGCCTTGTCAACCCCTGTCTCTCGATCCAAAGGGGCCCGGCCCATACTCTGGGGAACCAGGCAGGCCTGCCGGTTGGTGATTGCCTTGATCTGGCCGTGGCGATCCCAGCTGGACACTTGTAATCCGTCACGGCGCTTTGCTCGCCACTGAGCGCAGGCAAACCCATTGCAAGGTGACGGCTACAGCCCAAGGCGCGTCGACGTCGAGTCACAGAGGACTGGCCGCGCCGAATTGGCCAGTCAGCAGTCGATGCAGGCGCTGACATGGTGCGGTGCCTGAGCCGCGGGGCCTGTCAGAGTATGAGAAAGTGGCCTGGCCCTATGACTGGCCCATCTGCGGCCGTTGTATCCTTCCACACGAACCCCTGCACTGCTCCAGGGCTGCCACTGCCACTGTTGCTGCGTTGCGCTTGCCCTGCTGCCAGCCTCCAGCACGGCGGGCTGCTCCTGCCTCTGGGGAAAGTGGCATTGGCAAGTACTGTACGAAGTACTTGTTCTTTGTACCCATCTGATCAGGACAACAGATCCTGCACATTCGTATGCGCTTCGGTCCGCCTCTCACGAGAAACATCTTCACTCACGAGCACGCCCCATCCGCTCCAACCAACTATGTCTTCGCTGTGCCTTGTTGGCCATGGTCACGCCGCCTTTGAGCGTCAGACACCCATGTCGGTCGGCAGTCGACGTCGACACCAGCAACACCCCTCGTTCAATGACGCTGCTCCCCTCCACCATCGGGCTCGTCGCTGCGAAGCATCCCGAGACTGATGGCTGCCGTGACGCCGGAAATTTCGGCCACCTCAACACTGGACGCGGGGAAATCACTTGACATGCTTCTCGACGCTGATATGGGTGTCTGAATCTGCACGCCACCAGCTCGAGCCCGACTCAAGCGGGAGCCTTTTCGCGGGGTCCACGCAGGATCGACATTGAGACATCCGGGGAGAACCGCTTTGGAACTAGCCCCAGGCCCAGGATCAACCGTCGACCAGTGGCGCTCGTCGGCCCCTCTTGAACCTCGGAGCTCATACTGGTTACAGAAGTGCACACATGATGGGGCTGCTTCATCCCAACTCGCGCCAAACACTCTTGGGGTTTCCAAATGCCTCACTTGCACGCTGTTTCCAGTATGACAGCTGCCACAGATCAGGGACGTGACGGACACCACCTCCATGGCGCACATCTTCTGTCCTGGCGTGACCGAACGGAGTGAACGAGCTGATCTGTGAGCCCTGGGGATCCGGGAGATGGCTTGACACCAGCACGTGCTGTTGGATGCCAACCAAAGCCTCGGTGCGCCAATGTTGCCTGCATACGCCAGGAACCAGGGGCCCTCAGCCACACACGCCGAAGATGGCATACTGGAGACGGATCGAACCTGCTTCGCAAGGAATTTCCAACGGAGACTATGAAGTCGTGCAAATTACCTCAACGGCTGGTGGGGAGCCACCAAGCGAGCCGATTTCAATAGCCTTCCTCGGCACGCCCCAGTTCCGCTCCGCAACCAGACTTCTCCGGGACCGCTGGGTCAGGTGAATCGCAGCAACTTACCACGGATTTGGATGGCACACTCCGCTTCTGTCGAGTTGGGGCAAGCAGTGAAACATACTGTGGCTGCATGTGGTAGTGGTGAAACCCTTCTGGCGGACCTCACGGCGCGCCAAAGATGCTGCGTTCCGGCACGTCAGCCACTCCGTTCTTCTCAGTCTTCACATCCACCGCGGGCGAGAGCTCGCTGGTGTGCCTCCTTTGAATTCGCTGCTCACGATGATCATACTATCATTTCTTTGATCGCCTGCCTGCCGCTGAAGATCGGGGGTTGCCAGACTATCGAAGTGGCCTGCACACCCATGTTAACCACGCCAAGGGACGATGTGCCCTGCACGCACCGGTCCGCAAGGACACTGGAAGTCCAGGCCCGATCACGGGGATCCTCTAAATTCGCTAGAAATTTGGCATGTGAGCCTCGAATGCTGCTCACCCGGCAGCCTTAACACATTTGCCTCAGACGTTGTCCTTGTGGACAGAGGCTCGGTGAATTGGCCGCAAGCAGTGCATGCCGCCATCATCAAACTTGTTCGTCAGGAGAAACCGCAATGCAGTGTGTTGTCGTGTTCCTCCTGGACGACCGGCGCCACCACAACATGGTCGTTTCAGCCTTTGAAGCTGCTTCTTCTGGACCCAGCCTTTATCATCCAGGTCGAACGTGGCCAATGTGTTGCGCTTTGGTCTTAACAGGGCTGTTTGGGGCACGTTTCACCTCCATGTTAACACAATGCGCCGAGGAGGTGGATGCCGACGTCTGACATGGAAACCTGGACATGTCACCGGAACATCGGCTGCTGGCATCAGGGGCAAGGCCGCGACAGTATAAGAGCACCCTGGTTCGTCTTGCTACTCGCCCGTCGGTCGAGGAGGCAACGGCTTGACAACCATGGCCAAACTAACGGGCATAAGCAGTGTGCATTTCTGTGGTGTAACAACGCGATCAACGTGTGTAGCATCGAGCCTGTTCTGGCGAGTCTCAAGCGGCGAAAATGGCCGGGAACACGCCGAATGGCATGGGAGGGCACCATGACGCTGGTCAGACCCCAACAGCTCGAGTGCGTTGCAGCCCTAGGGGCTCGGGCCGTTGGGGCCGCTGCCGCCGCAGACACTACGGCAAGCTTAATTCTAGTGGTTCGTGTCGGCACCGCGAAAGATCTCGTCAACCGGCGAGACGAGTACCACCAAGATCAAGACTGACTCCAGGCACTGACTGGCACCAGAAAAGGCATTATGAGTGCGTACAGCTTTTCGTCTTTCCGCGGTGAACCTATTCTCAGGACGCCAAATGCTTGAGCAATGGACTGCCCGCCTTGTCGCGGCTGCCTTCAAGCCCAATGATCAGCCCTGCACAGATTCCAGCTCCGGTTGAGGAATTCAACACGGCTTGCTTGCCGCCAATCTCTTTCAGAAACTGTCAAGGTCTCCCATGTCGTCGAGGTATTTTCTGAAAGCGTGAATGCGGCAAGCAAAGAAGCATGTAAAAGTGAACTGGCTTTGATTTCTAAGCAGCGGCTTCAGCATGGACCCAGCTTGCGATCCCCGCAATGAGGGTAACGCGGCGTCACTGTTGTCCGATTCTTTGTCTGCAGACTGACAGACTTGACCGCTCAACGTCGAATTAAGCTTGTTTTTTTCAACGTTCCTCGCGTGCAGCATGACTCACTAGGGTCGGAGCTGACGAGAAAACTCCGCCCGCTGAACGCAAATGCGATGAATGCGAGGACGAGAATGGCACGGCCAAGGCCTAGCTTGGTCATGATGAAACTTCCCTAGCCAGACTCTTGCTTACAAAACTCCGCGATGAGATGGAGATCGGGACGATGCGAGGCGGTCCCGCGGATGGCTTCGCCAGGAGCCAATGTATAAAAGGAGTGCTCGCGATGAGAGTCAAAGCTGGAGCATCAACTCCAAGACACACAGACTCAGCACCTACAAGACGGCTTCGCCAGAGCCTCATCAACTACCACCATGTCTCGGCAGCGAATTACACTTGTTGGCATCGGCAACATGGGCGCCGCCCTAGGCCACGCCCTGCTCAAGAACGACACGCCCATTACGGTTTGGAACAGGACGACAGACCGCCCACAGGTCAAGGGTCTGGTCGACGCCGGCGCCGCACTTGAGGCTGATATCAACGCCGCCCTGGTCCACAACGACGGCGTCGTAGTCATCTGCCTTCTCGACTACGACACAATGTACACGGCCCTGGGCTCTTCGGCGTCCAGCCTCCAAGGAAAGACGATTGTCAACCTCACAACCGGTACACCCAAGCAGGGCCGGGACGCCGAGGTTTGGTTCAAGGATCAAGGCGCCTCGCTCTACTTTGACGGTGGCGTCATGGGCACGCCAGAGATGGTGGCTACGCCGCACATGGTCATCATGTATAGCGGAGAAACGGAAGCCAGCTTCACGGGCAACCGCGTCCCGGAGCTGCTGGGACCATTTGGCCGCGCCGTGTACGAGGGGGAGGACCCAGGGGCCGCGTCGATGGTGGACCTCGCCGCGCTGTCGGCCATGTATGGCCTGTTCGCCGGAGCGTTCGTCGGCATGGCTCTCCTCAAACGTCAGCGCCAGGCGGGGTTGAAGGCGGGCGAGGCTCCGCAGGTGACGCCAGGGGTAAACAAGGCCATGATCCCGTTGGTCGGCTCGCTGGTCCCGTACTTGAGCCAGATGTCAGAGATCATCGACCAGGAACGCTGGGAGGACAGCCTGGGCAACCCGTTGGGGATGCAGCTGACGGCGCTGAGGACCATTCTGCGCGCGTGCGACGAGGAGGGGGTCGACGGCGGCGCCCTGGCAGGGCTGGCTGCCAACATGCAGAAGGGGGTGGACGAACGCGGCGGGGACGGTGGGATTCCAATCGCGGGCAAGTACCTGCTCAAGTGAAGATGGCGATGGATGGCATTGAGACGCCGGCAGTTGGTAAATTAGGCGTACAATGAAAAAGACGTCTGTGCGTGAGAGCGAACATGGATGTCGTCGCGTATCGCAATGTCTGAGACTGCAGCCCAAATGCTACCTAGGCTCGATACGGCCCATCTCCAGGTGCAAGCGCGAGTGCGCTTGGGGCTCCACTGGCTTGGCCGATTCGACTGGGTTGACTCGCGCGGCTTGCTGGGCTTTTGGCTTCGTCGAGAGCGATCAGCGTCGTCCGGGTGTGGCGTCATGACGAAAAGGGGACTTGTTTATCCAGGATCTGCGGATTTGGCAAATTCCAAATCGGTGGGCCCTCGAAATCTACCACGAGGCGGTAGAGGATCGTCTCGTCTCGGGTGGGGGATAGGATAGGCATACGGAGTTAGGGGCGGGCCCGACCCTGATGAATCAAGAGGACTCTCGAGGGGATGATTCCAACAATGGGTCGGATGTTTGAGTCGAGCAGCCGCGCCGGCACAACTTGGTCAGTGGGGATGCGAAAGAAGGCGACAGGTGCCTTGGCAAGCTTGGGCGCCTCAAGGGGTGCATCGCGACGCGGCAATCGCATGAGCTCGCAGGAGCAATTGGGTTTCCCCTGCGCCGCGGGTCAAAGTAGCCTGCCTTGCCTTGCCTTGCCTTGCCTTGCCTGCATGGTCGCTGCGGGCCTGGGTAGGGGGAAGAAGCCGGTGAAGGACATGTTTGAAGTCCACCTTACCTTATCTTCCATCGCCCGTCACTAATCAATGCAGACCTTGCCCCTGTGGAAAGGGGTTGTTTCCTCGCCCCAAAGGGAGACGGAAGGGGTTCCGCGGCCGCGGGCCTTCTAGAAGACGCCCTGGCGCTCCAGTATGGGGCCTTCCCAGTGAGGGTGTGGGCGTCTGCACCGGGCAGCGCTCGAAGGCGAAAAGGCTGCCGAAGCGAGCCTGTCCCTGCTGGCATTAGCTTCAGGCACGAGTGCTCCGTCCAGGGGCCAGCCGTGTCCGCGTCGTCGTACGACGACTCGGCATCCGACGAGGCTGGGAGCTGTCCTCGCACACTCTCGCACAGACAAGCGACGGCTACATGCACGTCCCCTGGCCCGTTACCCCCTCCCCTGCCCGTCGACGATGAAAAGGGAAAGTGGCCGCACCGACAGCATGCTCCACTGCCGCAACCCACGATGCTGGGCCTGGACGCCCTACGAGTGCAGGGGGCCGCGGCGTGGCGTGGCCTGCCCTCCAGGGGCTCGAGATCGCGAACGGGGAGTGCAAAAAACGTGGCCGCCAAGCGACCGATTGATGTAAGTTGATGAACAGCTCAAGGCGGCGGGATTGCTTGCGGCGAATACTCCGGCCCCAGTGTCCGTTGGCTGATTCTCGGCCTCTGCGCGTGCTGCGGTGACAAGGCAGGCTGTCGTCGCACGACAGGGCAAAGATCGGGCCTTCTGCATCTTGTCCCCCCCGTCCTCTTCGCCGCCTGGCCCTGGTCTGTCTCTTGGTCCTGTTGGCCGCCATCCCGCCCGCCAGCCACCGGCAAAAGAAGACGCCGTTGCCGCCCCCGCAGTCTGCGTCGGGTCGGACATAACGTGCACGGCACGGTCAACTTGTTGGCCGAGACAGAGAGCATAACGTCGTCGCCGATCGCGATCTTTCCCCTGGTGCTGTTGGCGAGCCTTCGGCTCCGTCGGCCTTGGGCGGTCCAGTCTGTGCGAACAGAGACAATCTCCTTGGCGGCGCTGGGTTGCATCCCGCGAAAGACGTACAGCAACGGCGCGCTGCGGCTGAAGTCGACAATTTGGGGCTCTTTTGGCAATTTGGCTCGCCTCCTGGGGGGG